CTCCAACTCCTAACGAACTTTTCTTTATATAATTCAAGTTTTTTCTTAAAAACTAAATATTAAAAAAATTTCAAAAGCTGGTATTTTAGCTACGTATTTTTTTAACTAAAAACAAGCATAAATATGTGTTGGATATCATGGTATGCTTTGAGATTGAGACGTGGACACACCTTTCTAAACAAACCGAAATCAAACTGCTTTATATTGAATATTAATTTAGCATTTATTTTTTATGTTTATTTTTGTCGGGTTAACAAAAAAATGTGATAAAATAATGCACAAAAGATTACAAGACTTTGGCGAAATATACAGGGGAAATTGTGGGACATATTCTGACCTCTGAACTGGAAAATGTATAAGCAATTCAGATATCTGAACCACTTGCATGTTATTTATAGCTGGATGAAACCACAACCAGGAGACCTATATTCTGAAATCTGAACACAATGCACATGGTTTTCATTTAATTAATTCTTTACTTTCAAGATTATTGGTGGTTAATCAATTAATTAAGTTCATTAATTATTACAAAAATGAAACATTTGTTGAGCCTTTTCAAACTAATAATGCAGTTTAATTTTTTCCAAAAGAATAGGATCCACGTAATGATTTGGCTTTTGATCATTTGAAGAGTGAAGACTTATCAACAACTTAATCATATGGAATTGCGTAGGATTCCGCTGACACGACAACCACTTTTAGCTCATCGATTTTATCTTGTTCTATTCCAAGAACACCAAGAAGCACGTTTATGAATATGCCATATGTTTTTTTAGACGAGCTCTTAAGAAGTCAAAATATTTTAAATTAATTGCTTTTTTATGGAATCTATTTACATTATTTACGGTATTAGTTTATTTTGTAGATGTAGAACTCTTATGTATTACTAGAATGTTGATTTTGTTTTTTGTTAAAATAAAAACAAATCCAAAAATTCGGTTTTTAAGTTTTCAAACCGATGTTATGGATTTTTTTTTCGGGTTTCATAGTTTAAATTTTCGGGTTGCATAGTTCACGAGTTTTGAGTCCAGTCGATGTGTAATGCTTGTATTTTGTTTCAGTCACATTTAATACGTATGATGTTTTTGTTTCGATATAGTTATAGGCATAGATTTATCTTTTGACATGCTATGGGCTAAGTAAAGTTTTAATTCATTTTGGGCTAAACTCTTATGTAATCGAGTGATTTGAGTCGAGAAAAAGATTTAGGCTTAGCCCAACAAAATTTATCCCAATAAACCAAATATAATAATAAAAAATGGAATTGTGATTCGTAACTTGCGATTTAGATCATCTTTTATCATGCGAATAACGTTCAAGATTTACAAATAATCTCAATAATCGATGATAAACCAGATATCATATTTGAGATTACTCTTTATAAAATACATGGACTATTTATGTAATTTTACCTTATTAAAGTGGTTAGTCATATACTTGCCTCCTGTTACTTTGATACACATGTCAACAAGAACATGTGCCACTCGAATTTTCATGCCACGCAAAGACGCATAGTTTTCATATATACCATGATGATTACCATTCAAAGAATACGCAATTTTCACGAAAATGGAAAAAGTCGAACGAGACAAAGAGCAGACAAAAGTGGTGGCGGATGACGCAGCCGGCAGCCGCAACGCCAACAAAAATAGACTGAGCCACCCCGTAATTTCAACCATGGAGCCTCTCACTCACGAAGCATACGGCGGTGGAATGTACGGCAAAGATGACGATAAAACACCACCCAAAAATCCAAGGCAACCACCGGCAAGTGAAACCCAAAGCGCCGATGGACCTTCAGACACAACTCCGGTGGAACTTAAACATAAGCCACCTCCGTCTTCCGGCGATAGGGATATTGACATCACCGGCCAATCTTACATCCAGTAGTCTATCAAGATATATTTTAAATTAATTACTGTTTTAAGCAATCTATATATAGACATTATCTCCGGTATTATTATCTTGTAGATGTATATTGTCGTGTAAACATAAAATCTTATGTATTACTATAAACAACAATATGCACGAGCTTCTGCTTTTGATTTTTTTTTTTTCTTTGAACGGAGAAAAGAACTGATGTTATTCATTTTTTTTTTCGTGTTTGGGTTCCATCATATAGATTTTCGGGTTGCACAGATCGCGAGTTTTGAGTCCACTTGATTTGTAATTCATGTATTTTTATTTCTGCTATACTTAATACGTATGATATTTTAATTATCGGCATAGATTTATCTTTTGTAATGCTATCATTGCTATGGGTCATGGGATTGGGTTTGCACAAAAAAAGATTTATCTTTTGTAATGCTATCATTGCTATGGGTCATGGGATTAGGTTTGCACAAAAAAACCGGTTCAGGATTCGACCGGTTACTGAACCGATAAACCGGTTCACTATGAACCAAACCGGTCAATAATCGAACCGTCGGTCGGTTTGCACCCGTTTGAGAACCGTGAACCGGTTTGGAACCGGTAGTCAAACTGATCGAACCAGTTTTGAACCGATTGAACTGGTTAAGAACCGGTTTAAATAGGTTCGAGTTTTTCTATAACGGAACTGGATCTTCGATCCAGTTATGGTTAAACCGGTTTTACTATTCAAGAATCGAAAATCAAACCGGTTTAATGAACTGGTTCGATTTGAGGAAAAAAACGGTTTGTTCACCAGTACATGGGTACATGGGATGAGTAAAGTTTTAACTCAATTTGGGTTAAACTCTTATGTAAAATTGAGACACTTTTGATTTGAGTCGAGAAAAGATTTGGGATTAGCTCAACAAAGTTAATCCCCATTAAATTCCAATCACTAATAAATATTTTTTTTCATTTATTTTGATAAATGTTTTTTGGTTATTTTAAATTAGATTTTTTTTATATATTATTTTATGGTTTTTTTATTTTATTAAATTTCATATAATATTTAAATATAATAATTATAATAAATATAATTATAAATGAATATTTATTTTATTAATTGATTTTTTATTATTTTTATTTATGTTTAAATTTAAAAATATACATATATTTTAAATTCAATAATTTAAAATTCTTTTTCTTATAAATTCAAACTTCAAAAATATTTAGAATTTCATATTTAATTTTTATTTCAAATGATACATAGGTTTTACACTTAATCTTATGCTAAATGAATTCTTTTTTGCCACGTATCATTCTCATTGATTTCAAGTTATTTTTACATAAATTTCACTAAAAACAAATAAATAAATAAATCACCTAGTGATTCTTTTCCATTTTATTATTTGGATGGCTGCCACGCCCAACAGGATAGAAAATGCTCCCGAAGGAAAATCGAACTCAACACCTACGAGGAAAGTGTAGTGTCTCAACTACCAAGCTAATAATTTTTTGATATGTTTTTATGTTTTTTCTTCTGACCGCAATTTTGATATGTAAAGAAAGTTAGTAATTATACATATTTATATGATACAAACATATTTATTTGCTTCTCAACTCCCAAATCATATTGCAGAGCTATATTTTTCTTTCGGATAATGACTTAACAAGTTAATATACTTTTTATTTTGTACACATTTGGTCATTCGGTTTTTTAGTTGTCCACATTCAGTCTTTCTAGTCTTTCTTATGACCCGCTACTTTAGGTTAAACCGAAAAATAACGTAATACGGTAATATATTTTTTAGTTTGTACATATGTAGCTTTTATGATCGGTTTCTTCATTTTTTGTACAAGGCATCCTATTTAGGACGATCATTATTAAGGTGTTCTCATATGTGGTTTGTCTTTCACTTATATCAGTAATTTAATTCACGAATCAATCAAATAATGTTGGTGCTCTAGTTTTTTCCAAGCAGAAGATGTCATAAGTTTCGGTTTCATCTAAAGCGGGATTTTTTGTGATTACTTCTTCCTAACTCAAATTTACACTTCCAAGACAAAGAATCTCATTGTCTTCTATAGAGATTTATGAAATTGAAGTCGAAAACATCTTATACTTGAAGAGAACTAGGGCATTAACATTATTTAACTCATTCGTGAATTAGGTTACCAATATAAGTGAAGGACGAGCCACGTATGATAACACCCCATTAATGATTGTCTCGCGTAGGATGTTGTGAGCAAAATATGAAAAAACAGTCATAAGAACTAAATATATACAAAACCAATAAGGACTAAATGTGTACAAACTAAAAAATATATTACCATATTAAATCATTTTTCGGTTTAAATTGGAGAAACCGGCTGTAAGGATTGAATGTAGGCAGAAAAACAAGTTAAATTGTCAAATGTGGACAAAAAAAATTCATGATCAAATATGTACAAATTAAAAAATATATTACCATTCTAAATCATTATCTCTTTTGTTTCATTTGAATTATATTTAATGACAACAAATTTATTTACTTCCCTCCGTACATAAACTTACATACACAGAACTTTCAAATAATGAAACTTGTTGCAACCCTTCAGATAAACATGTTTTTTTATATATTTAAATATTAATAAATGCAATGTTAAATATATAAAGTTTAGATATTAATACATACTTTTTAAATATATAAAAACATATATATATATATATATATATATATATATATATATATATATATATATATATATTATCATTTGAATATTTATTTTTATAAATAAAAACTCTTTAAATGTTTGAATATGTATAAAAACATTATTTATAATATTTATTTTTATAAATAAAAACTCTTTAAACGTTTGAATATGTATAAAAACATTATTTATACGCTTAAATATTAATAAAAACGTTTTCTTTCTTTAAAAACACAAAAATTGTTTTATTGAAAACTATACTTTATTTTTTGTTAAAAAAAAACATTAAATACAACAGAATTCATATTTTTTTTTCTTTATATAAATAAAAATTAGCAATGGCATATTTTTATGTTTCTTTTATTGAAATTCATAGTTTGGAACACAACATAAAAGCATCCAAAATTAATTAATTCAACGGAGAGTTGAATGGTGTCAAGTTGGTAAGAGGACTCAACCATCTTTCATCTTTTAAAGCCAAAATTTTACACTAAAATGTCTCTTGATTGTTTCAATACAATAAAGTCAACCGTCTCTTTTTTATTTTTTATTTAATTTTATTTTATTGAATCTTATTCAACTCCCATTATGAATGCTTAAAGTTTCAAGTATAAGAGATCGTAACAAAAACATAATAACTTATTTTGGACCAGACTCGACCAATTACATGTCACATTTTTCAAAATGCATTTCGGCTAAAGTTCCACTAAAATGGGTTGGCTACTAAGTCCCCATCAAGGGTTTGGTTAAATATCTACTTTTTTCAATTTTTACATTTTATAAAAGATGAAAAAGTTAAATTCGTTTAAAATAGGCAAGGTCTAGAAGACTAGAAGTCTAGAACCGGTTAAATAAAGAGCGGTAACACGGGTTGTACCTTTTTACAACCAGGCCCGGTTAAGGCACAGGTCCATGAACTCAAGATACACTTATTGGAATGTGTAGGCCCAAAACCCGATTATAAACCAGCTAAGGCCCATTAAGGGTCCGGTTATGCGTAAGATCATCAAACTTCTCCCGGACCAATCTTTGTGGGCATGATCCATGCATTACTCTTAGTTGCAAAAAGGCTTAAACATAAAATACCTAAACTACCCAACCAATATCAAATGAATGAACAATATGTCTATGAAAGAAGAAATACAATTGGGCAACAAATCTAACACCAAAAATGAAAATAATGAAACAAAAAAGTCAACATGAGGTTTGAATCACTGTCAAGGTGGTGATGAAGGTGAAGAAGGGTCATCTTTAGGAGGTGATAATGAAGAAGAACCAAAATCAAGATACGGGTACACACCCTGACCCGGTGGTTTCTCTTGTGGTTGGATCGATAACAGTTGACTTGAATCACCAACAACATCAGCCCATCCATAATGTGGTTCCCCCCTTTTAAATTTTAATCAAAATTCAATACATAAAACTCAAACTCATTTAATTAATAAAACAAAAATATAATATATATATATATATATATATATATATATATATATATATATATATATCTGTCAACTTACTCGTAATAAGTTTCCTCATCTACAACAATATCCCAACTTTCACCCGTTGTGCTTTTCCCATACTTGTGCACCTTTCTGCTAGAAAAATAAAATAAAATAAAATAAACAATGCCAAATTTGTAAAAACTTTGTTAAGTCGTTTATTTATTTGACAAACATACCCGTTTCCCAAGTGTTCTTCCCCCCATGTCCTTGACCAACCTGATACATACATATATATATATATATATATATATATATATATATATATATATATATATATATATATATATATATATATATATATATATATATATATATATAATTAAAAAGTGTCAATAATTATATTTTAAGTAATTTTTATAAGTTCTTTTTTTAAATAAAAAAATAAGAATAAGACGTACGTTCACCAGCAGGGGATACATGCCATGTTTCTCCTTGACGAGAGCCGATACCCGCAAAAAATTTCTCCTCCCATTTGTCTCCCCATTTCGTTCCAAGTTCAGTTTCAGCCCATTTATCAGTCCTAAAAATAAAATTAAAAATAAAGAAAATATTGAACTATTTACTTGGTTTTTCTTTATTGGATATAAAAAAAAAAAAAAAAAAAAAAAAAATACCATTTTAAAACAGATCCTCTTCCATCATAATGTTCTCCCCATTTCTCCCACCATGATTGTTCATTTAGTCTACCATATTTATGTGCTCCTTTTTCAGTCCAACCCTTGGCATCATATTTCTCCCACCTAATGTGACAAAACATCTATGTGTGTAAAAGACGTAAATGCCCTTCAAAATAGCCCTAAAAAGCTACATACATACCAATTCTCATACCAACCCGCGTTTTCTATGCCTGATTTTGCTTGCTTTTGTGCACTTCTTTCAATCCTTGCTAAATTACTGCAGTTTACTTACATAAACAATTCGTGTCATTAAGATAAAGACGCATAATTTCATGAAATTACAATATTAACCTCCATTCGTCTTGGTGAAGAGCTTCTCGCCATGTTTCCCACCATGAATCCCCTTGAGAATTTCTTCCGGATTTCTCAACACCTGCATATATTTATATCCATATTTTTTAATCATTCAACTCTTACAAGCATTATATATATATATATATATATATATATATATATATATATATATATATATACCTAGTTCTTTGTATCCGCTCCAATCACTTTTCTCCCACCACTGTCAATGACATCAACAAATCCAATTAATGCATCTACCTGGGGTGAATACTTTATAAGCAAGGTTATATAAACAATGGAGTTCATACTTCATACACATGTAATAAGTAATAAATACCGTTTCTTTCCATTCTGAAGAGCCATCGTCACTTTTACCACCCATCTTTGTCCATCTACATCTGAATCCATTTTCACCCAAGTCTTCTCCGCTTTCTCTGTACCATGAACTACCATCCACATTGGTTCCAGATTCATTCACATGTTCACTCAAACTGATGCCCCAATCCTTCTCGTTTGCAATACCAGTGTCTACAATTACAAAAACAAGTAAATTGAAAGAAATTGTTTTGTGTTGAAGGATTCATATATCAGAAGTTACCTCTTTTTGGTGGAGTGTCACGAGATTGAGGCCCGGAATTTCTTGTGGTGCAGCGTGGAAAGAACTTCTCTTGTCTTGAAGGATTCAGAGATCTACAGCAATTCGAACGCAAGTTAAATTTCAAACTTCAGGGTAAATCTATGTATGTCCCCCAATTGAATATTAAGAAAATGAAGGGAGTGTGCTCCTGAAAATACAAAGTATCGGAAAAACGTACTGTGATGATGCAAAGGGTAATGCGGGAGCAGCTTGTACTCGGACTTTGTGGCTCTTCTTCTTCAACTCAATCGGCCATTCCTCGGCATTACTCCCACCTTTACGACCCGACCCATTAGCAATTCTCCGGATCGGCACTACCTTGCCGGAACAGCAGTATAAAATTCTACAATCGCTGCCGCGAATCAAAACCCTCCGACGGAGAAGCGCCGTTGGGCGGAAATCCACATCCGACTTCCGCAGCCGCAACCCAAATGCCGGCGGCACAGAAGGGGTCGATGCCATTATCGAAATTTGAAATGAATTTGTTCGCAATCACGAGAATGTCATTAAGAACCTAATGGATTTTGCCCAGAAAGACATAAAATTAAAACCCTAGTTTGCAGTTATTCTATTTAAAAACCTTATAACCATAACCTCCTAAATTTTCGAAAAAATTGCGTCGCTCGTCTGATTTTAAACGGGAATTTCTAGGCTAGAAAATGCTATCGAAGCTGCAAGGGTAAAATTCGGAGTTTATGAAGAGGAAAAACGAGCAGCAAATCTTTGGGAGTGTTCTCTAGAGACTAGAGTAGTAGTTGTTGGTCGAAGTTGAAAGCTGGATTTCGAGGTTTTGCGTTTGTATGAGAATGGAGATGATCGGAATGGGCGTGTTTTTAAGATGTTTTGAGAATCCCGGAGTTGAAGGTGGGCTCCGCCGTTGATGGTAATAGTATATCCTATTATTCCATTCATTTTTTGACACGTGGCGAGGTATTTTGACTCGTACATACATGACGTGGTATCGAAATTAAGGTAGTGTTTGTTTTTTGTCTGCAGATCTGCGAGACGTTTTCTGTCTGCGCCGTGCAGACCACGCGCAGACATTAGTCTTCGCAGACTGTTTGTTTTTTTGAAAACTGCAGACCTAAAAATGTCTGTGCGCCCTCTTCTTGACGCAGATGTAGACCAGAGTCTTCTAACATCTTCAGACATCTACTAGCTTAAAAAAACATATATATCTTTATTTTTTTAAGTTTTTTTTTTAATTTATATTTTTTCCAACTTTATTAATGATAAACAATATGAAAAAAAAAATTACAAAACTTAAAAAAAAAACATTTGACGATACAAACATGATATTTTTAACAAATTTATAAATAAAAATTTATTATAATAATAGTCGTTGAAATTGTTTATATAAATATGAAAACAAAAAAAATCAAAATATATTCTTATATTTTTTTGCCAAAATTTTGTAAAACTTTATTTAATAGAGTATCATCAATTTCTCGAGAAAATATTTATCGTACGTTTTTAATAGATTTATTTGAAAAAATCGAAGTTTATTTCCATCTATTTATGTACAAATTCTTTGATCACTAATTATAATGTTTAGTTATAACTTTGCAATCAAAGTTGTTGGTTTTTATCAAATATGTATATGAATTAATACCATTTTTATTTTTATTTTTTATATAATAATACATAAAAGTTGATCTAGATTCGTTATATATTTATAATAAAGTCGTAAAAATATATAAAAAATTCGCTTTGAAGTTTTAAAAAATCAGTTTATTTAGATTTCAGTTTATTTTAATAGCCCGCAGATGTTAAAAAAACAAACAGTCTTCTTTTTTCAGACTGCAGACGTTTGGTCCACCTCTTCTAACGCAGAGGTCTACAGATGTGATCCGCAGACTGCAGACATTTTGCCTCAGAAAAAACAAACAGCACCTAAGAGTTGTTAAAAAAAACACCTATATTATAGTATGAACACTCTAATTAATTTTTTTAATATTTTTATTGGATGAAATTATATTGTTTTCTAGAAAAACTGATTATAATTAGTTAATTATTGGTTACTTTTAAAAATTAGTCAATGAGGTATCTAAGGGATGTCTTATTAGCAACACCCTCGAAATTAATATGTAAATAACTAAGAGAAATTTCATCCAGAGACCAAATAGATTGGGTATTTGAACATTTTGATCATGAAAATTTGAATTTTGTAGAATGATCAAGGGATCCGCAGAGGGGATTTTACGGAAGCCTTTTACCTTCTGAGGAATATGAATAGAAACGAGGAATTGAGGTGGTAGGGGAAATAGACAAAAAAAAAAGTTTGTTGCATATTTCCTTAAAGGAGGCTCTGCGGAAAGTTTGTTGAGGCTCTATGGATCTGTTGTTCATTGGCACACCTCTAAGGAACTGTTCTTCGGCTAACCATAGCAAAAATCGGGATTTCATTATTGTTTGAAATTATATGAAACCCTCGATATTTGATTTATTTTGAATCAATTATAGGCTTTTTAGGGTGTTTCCTAGGTTAATCGATAAGAAACAGTAATGAAATCCCGATTTTTTCCATGGTTAGCCGAAGAACAGTTCCTCAGAGATGTGTCGATGAAGAACAGATTCGCAGAGCCTCAACAACCTTTCCTCAAATCCCCCTCTAAGGAAGTATGCAACAAACCATTTTTTTTTTGTCTTTTACCCCTGTCACCTCAATTCCTTGTTACTATTCACAGTCCTCATAAAGTGAAAGGCTTCCGCAGGCCCCCTCTGCAGATCCCTTAATCATTCTACAAAACTCAAATTTTCATGGTTAAAATGCTAAAAACACCCCCTTCCTTTTGGTCATTTGATGAAATTTCTCAATAATTAGTTGTTTTTGGTACTAAATGATTTGTTTTAAAATACAATATTGTATGAAAGTATAAATTATTATATATGGAGAAAAAAAATGTTATGTAGAATTATTTCTTTATTATAATAAAATATTACAAATTTATATGGTTGACAAATTAAAATAATATTAACTAGCCTGGTTGATAGATGGTATTCCCTCTTGTGTAAGCCTGAAGTTCAAGGCATTGAGAGTTAATCTAATTGAGGTGTACCATTAAAAAAAATAACATAGATACAACCAAATACATTTTATTCCATCGGTATCAAGTGTTGTTGAATTGTAGAAATAAGTTAATAAGTTTATAATTGATAAAACATCAGACCTTAAAGCTTATTTGTAACACCCGGTTCCCGGTACGTATTTTAATTTAATAAATTGTATGATTTTACCCTGGGACTCGGCGAGTTGGAGGCCCAACTCGGCGAGTAGACTAGACTCTTGGATGCGGGTTTTAAGTAACCTACTCGACGAGTCGGAGAGCCCGACTCGGTGAGTATGACTGTCTGGATGAAACCCTAATATTTAGGGTTTGCACCCTATTTAAGCACATTATCTTGTCCTAACCCAGCCTCCATCGTCCTTCCCAGTCCAGTAACGCCCTAACTCGAAACCCTAATGGAGTGTTCTTAAGCCATTTTTGTGTGTTTTTGGTTGTTTCAAGCTTGAAGAAGGAAGTATGAGTTTGGGGGTTCCATACGAAGCAAATAGATCTAGAGGTTTTACTTCGTTTCCAGTTCATTTAAGGTAAAAAGCTTCAACCCTAACCATCCATTTCTTAGATCTATAGTTAGGGCTCATTTCTACCTTTTCTAAGCCTCAGAAGTACCATATTTGGGATTTTGTGGTTAAAAAGAGGTATGAATTCAGATATGGAACCATTGAAGGTCCCCATGGCATAAAGGTGCCAACTTTGTTGCCATAAGAACCACATGCATCTTGTGGACTCCATTTTAGGGCCATTTGATCCAAATACCCCATGCATGAATGTCAAGTTTGTAACTTTATGTGTATTGTGGACATCAGACCTTAAAGCTTATTTGTAACACCCGGTTCCCGGTACGTATTTTAATTTAATAAATTGTATGATTTTACCCTGGGACTCGGCGAGTTGGAGGCCCAACTCGGCGAATAGACTAGACTCTTGGACGCGGGTTTTAAGTAACCTACTCGACGAGTCGGAGAGCCTGACTCGGTGAGTATGACTGTCTGGATGAAACCCTAGTATTTAGGGTTTGCACCCTATTTAAGCACCTTATCTTGTCCTAACCCAGCCTCCATCGTCCTTCCCAGTCCAGTAACGCCCTAACTCGAAACCCTAATGGAGTGTTCTTGAGCCATTTTTGTGTGTTTTTGGTTGTTTCAAGCTTGAAGAAGGAAGTAGGAGTTTGGGGGTTCCATAAGAAGCAAATAGATCTAGAGGTTTTACTTCGTTTCCAGTTGATTCAAGGTAAAAAGCTTCAACCCTGACCATCCATTTCTTAGATCTATAGTTAGGGCTCATTTCTACCTTTTCTAAGCCTCAGAAGTACCATATTTGGGATTTTGTGGTTAAAAAGAGGTATGAATTCAGATATGGAACCATTAAGGGTTCCCATGGCATAAAGGTGCCAACTTTGTTGCCATAAGAACCACATGCATCCTGTGGACTCCATTTTAGGGCCATTTGATCCAAATACCCCATGCATGAACATCAAGTTTGTAACTTTACGTGTATTGTGGACCCTAGGAGGCTAGATCTATGTTTTGGATGTGTTGAACTCGACTGAAATCAATAGTTTGGACTTGCACATTGGGGGACTCGGCGAGTCGGGGTATGGTTCCCTAACCCTTTTTTGTTTCGATCGAACTAGTTGAGTCTAGAAGAGGACTCAACAGGATAGATGTGAATATGGACCTGGAAATCATGGAACTCGACGAATTCAAGAGTAGAACTCGACAAGTTCGAAGCAAGTCCCAACTGCATGAAGGCGTACTCGACGAGTTCATAAGGAACTCGGCGAGTCCAGGATTTAATATGTCTTCTTGCATGAAGAAGGTCTCGACGAGTTCAAGGATGAACTCAACGATTCAGTTTAAGAAGGTCCCGACTTTGTAAGAAGTAGAACTCGAAGAGTACATGCAAGACTCGGCGAGTAGGATTGAAGTCTTAGTGTTGTTTAGGAATTGGAGACTTGACGAGTTGTGGGGTCAACTCAACGAGTTGAGTCAACCAAACGTTGACTTTGACCCATAGTTGACTTTGACCAAGGTGTTGACCTTGACTTTGGCTTTGACATGAGTAACCCTTATAGGGGTTAAGAGTATGTAATGGTAAATTAAGGAGGGTTGTTATGTGTAGGAGTTGAGAGGAGTTGAACCCAACATCGAGTACAATTCAGACTTCACGATACTGAGGTGAGTTACCTTCCAGTAGAAGTGGGTCTAAGACCACAATGTCGACCCACTAGTAGAGTTGTTTGGTAGATGATTGTCTTTGTGATATTCATCTGGGTTTGCTACTACCTTATATGTTTATGTGTTAGCATGATATGGTGTTATGTGGTAGTAGGTAGTAAGGGGAATAGTCTCCGAGTACGGTCGTAAGGACCAAAGGGTAGGTCAGGCACCCCAGAAC